GCTCTAGTGCTTGCCCTCAATCATGCCCCCACATACTAGCTTTTCTCAGAAACTTCCACTTATATTTAATGCCCATATCTTGTAAATTTCTTAAAAAGGACAAAGACAGAACTCCATTCAAGGCCATAAGACTGCTTTTGCTCCCAAGAAACTGTCAGCCAAATTTCTCAGGGAGGAACTAGAAATGAAGTGAGAGACATTGATAAATTTCCCTGCTGAACAATCAATAAAAGCCCCGCCATGCTGTTCAGACTCCCACTGTGGAAGCAAGGGCCGTAATTACATTGTCAAAAATTCAAGTTGCCCAGGCTGACAGCGACCCCTTGAAAAGTGACATGTGATTGGCACTCGGTTTAGGGTGGTGAACCTGGATTGGCAGACAGAGTGAGGAAGGCAAAAGGCAAGAGTGAAATTTCCTTATTGACTACAACTACCCAAACCCCACATTGCCCCTCTTGGAGGGATCCTGAGACCCTTTAGTCATAGTAAATATCCAGGTGAGTAGTGGACAGAACTCCTTGAGCCACTGAACTCCATGAGAGATTCAGAACACGCCCTGCCCCAATCCACTCCCAAACCAGGAGAAAGAGAGAGAGTGCTGCCTGTGGCTGAGTGTTCATGTAGGTGTATGTGTGTGCATGTGCGTGCACATGAATGCATTTTTCTACATTAAAAGAAAAACATGAAATGTGCTTTCAACTCCATCCTTCCTCATGACAGCTGAACAGCAAAGCCTGTTTGCTTAGCGATTTTAATCTATGATAAAAACCAGCCTGAGCGGAAAGGTTACAGGGGTGGCAATGAAGAATGAGACGGGAGGGAGAAGGTGGGGAAAGCTGTATGACTGACCCGCAGACCCATTTGTGTGATTCTCTAGGACCCGAGCTAGAGTTAAATTGGTCTCCATCAGTCAGGCCTCTTACAGTTGCATGCTAGGAATAAAACGCCTGCAAAACGCTTCATTTGCTCAGCAGTGCTCCGCTTCTGGCTAAACTGAGGAGCATGAAAATGATTTCCAAGAAGCCTTTATTGTAACCACGCCCGGGAATGGTGGTTATTCACTGCTGGGAAACAGCTGCACCAGGAGAGATTACAATCAAAAGGTGTTCTTCACTAGGTGTGGGAACAGAACAGAAGCTGCCTGGGAATGTGGCTGCCTCATGATCTCCAAAGCTAAAATCCTTCTCTTGCTTTGAAAAAAAGTAGACAGAAATTAACAAAGAGAAATTTCTAGGCAGAGCTAGCCTCATGCCAAATTTTGAAAGAGAGGCCCCTCCCTGGCCCCTCTAAAAGAAAATGAAATCATTGGCATTGGCTACTCAGTGGGAGGGAAAAAAAAAAGACTATAATCAAAATAGCCCTGGCTAACACTGCTTGAGTGTTAGCAAGTACCTGATGCTTCCGAGCAGTTCACAAGCAGTAAGTCTAGGGGGTGAAGATTGTGTTTTCCTGCTTTTAGGGAAATTAACTTGCCCAAGGTCACCGCTGATAAGCGGCAGACCTGCACTAATTTATGATTCCAAAACTATTAACCACTAAAAACAGCACTTCTCCAAGTGCAGTCAGTGGGATACTCCACTCAAATCATCCGAGGGTTCCATTGAAGTGCACATTCCTGGGTCCCCCTCAGGCCACTGGAGCCAGGCTCTGGGGGTGAGACCCAGAAACCTGCATTGTGGAAAACTCCTGGAGAAGAGTCTTCTAGGCACTAAAGTTGGTGAACCTCCTCACTGATCATCCTGGAAGCTGAGTGAACCCTGGGTCATTAGGGACCTTCTGGGTGCCAAGCTGTGAATCAAGTCGCTCCCTGTTTTGCATACTTGACAGCCAAAGAAAATTAGTTTCTCCCCAAAGCCCCAGTGTCAGCAGACCCACCTCTGGCCCTGGGAAAAGGCCAGCAAAATTACGTAACGATTTTAACTATGATGTACCGCCATGCCGGAGGGGAAATCTGTTTGAGACCTCAGGTGGTGAGGGAGGAAGGCGAAGGGAGAGGATTGATGAATTCTGTCTGTGACTGAATTCTCTGACTGAGACTGCACGAAGGGAGTCCCTCTCCTAGTGGTAAGATCTTTCCCACATCACATTTCTTTCAAATGAGTGAGAAGCAGCAGCATCATGTCAGAGTGGAAAACAGCTTGATTTCGCCTGTGTCCTGTGTGCAAGCTCTATGGCTTGGGAGAGATTCCCATCGCTCCTATCTTGGTAGGGCTTTGGGGGAACAGTTGTTGATGACAACCTAACCCTGGGAATACAGGGAAGATGGGAGCTGGGGGTTATGGGGAAAGGTGGAAGAGCAGGGGAGAAGACAGAAACGGGAGCAGGCGAAGAGATGTCTACACTCTCAATACCCTGTAACATCACAAGGCTCAAGTAGCAACATTTTTTTTTAACTTTCAGAATCTCAAAACATTAAAAGCATGTACTTTGCTTCAATTGCCCCCTATTGATTGCAAGAAATGACACTTGGGATTTTCTTAACTTGACATCTATTTAAACATAAAGGCTTAGGAGCACAGGGTACATTTAAAATACAGGCACAAAAAGTGTATTAACTCTTTCACTGATCCTTCATAATAGTATGTGAAAATGAAAAGCGTTGGGGTAAAAAAAGAAAAAAGGCAGGGTGAAAGAATTAGGAGAGTTTTCACTCTTCTCCATTTGAATTTCCATTTCTGGCAAGGATTTTGTCATATGCGTCATAGAGGACAGTGGCTCTCAAACCAGAGGATCCCTATTAGGATTCAAGGTCCTTCGGATGGTCTATGGGCTGGTAGGAACAGTGATGTGCCCTCTTCTTCTCCAGCTATGTTTTCTCATTGGCAAAGAGCAACACATTGGGTGAGTTTCCCAAGTAGCTGTTGGACTAAAGCAAACATTTGAAGACTGTGGCTGATGTGTGAATAGGTAGAAGACCCTCATGGATCCTGGGTTCAAGATTAATGTAAGCGCTTGCTGATAAAGATAGGAGAAAAAAGTCCTCCTTATTTTGAATGTCTATCCAGGTAGCTATGGGTTTTTCAAACCTGGTAAAATGTATCCCCAGTGCCTAGCACTCTGGCTGATCCATAGTCAACACTTAGTGGATACTTAACAAAAAATATTGATTTTGTTTCCTCTCCAAGGAAGCCTTTGAGACAATGATTGAGGCTCACTGTAATAGACAGGGTTTGACAGAACAAAATGGCAGACTCCTCAGCATAGCTAAATGCCCATGTCTAGAATTATTATTCCATGACAGATAGTGGGGTTTTATTTGTTTATGCCAGCCCAGAAATGCCAATGCAGACAAGATCATGTTTCCTAGAGACTGACCACTATCTGAAGATCATATTTTTCATCTGCCTTTGGCTCATGCTATGTAACCCAAAGTATATAAGTATCCACTAAAAGATAATTAAAACTCATCCTATATAATAAAGAGCTAATATGCAAATGGTTGTCATGCCCTTGTACCCTCGTGCCCTTGCATCAGGCCCGGGGGACCTGGGGCCAGGCGGGGGGACCTGAGGCCGTGCCCTGCGCCTCGGCGCCAGGCCAGGGGACCTGAGGCTGCTCCCCCCACCTGGAGGGGCTTGACAGGGGACCTGAGGCTGCGCCCCCAGCCCCAGCGCTGGGGCCGGGGACTGCCTGGCACCGGGCCAGGGGACCCCCCCCCCCGCCGCCGCCGCCCTGCAGTGCTTGACTGGGGTGGGGCCGGCCAGGTCTAGGTCTTGCGTGATTTTGAGGCACAAGCAGGTGGGCGGGGACTTGACTCTGGGTCCCATGGTGCACCCCAGACTCTGACAAGAGGGAGATTTTCATATACATTTTACTAATTTTCTTTCATCTCTGACACTTCTATTATAGAGAAAGGCCAAATAGCAATATTAAAATATTTTCTCTAATTAATTCCCTTTTAATGTGCACAAATTTCATGCACCAGGCCACTAGTTATTTTATATTTACATTTTCCAGTTGATATTAAGAATTTTCCTGGCAGTCAGTAATATCCTGAATCTCAAGGAAAATAAAAATGTTCATGTTTCAAAGTGGTAATAATGATCAGAAGGCAAATAAGCCTGGCCAGTGGAGGGCTTAGAAGGAGTCAATGGGGAAAAAAGGGGTACATCTGTATAACTTTCAATAAGAAAGATACATTTTTAAAAATAAAATAAAAATAAAAAGAAGAGGAAATTTCCTTCTTAAAAAAAAAAAAAAAAAGAAGGCAAATAAAATAGGAGCAGAAACACATTGCAGCCTAATCCCTGTTTTCTCTAAGAAATACCCAACACATTTGAACCAAAATCTAAGAGGAACTCTAACTGAACCCTCTTCACAGGAGGTTCAGCCACAACTATAACAAAATGAAATTGTCTCCATTTAGTTTATGATGCCATCAGTGTGTACAGCCATCAGTGTATGTGAAGTAATTGTGTCACTTGGTTTTCACTACATTGGGCTGCAATTACAAACACAAATCTCAGTGGCTTATGACAACCAAGGTTTGTTCCTCACTCACATACATGAGAGCAGGTCATCTGCAGCTGTGCCCCGGTTGTCATTATTCAGAGTCCGATGCTGAGGACAGGCTGTTCTCAAACAGAGAGCAAAGGGCAAAGCATTGCAACAGCTCTTAAAACTTCTACTTGGCCCTTGCAGAACATCATATCCACTCACATCCCATTGATTGAAGCAAGTCCATGGCTAAGGCCACTCTCAGTGGGACAGGGAAGTGTGCTCCATGCACAGGAAGGCACTGAAAGCCATCTGGCCGTGGGAAGAGGTGTATCATCCTCTTATAGAAAGGGGAGCAAATCATGGAGAATGATAGTGTCCTCTGCCACAGGAATCATGACAGTTAATATTTCTCACTTGAGGAAGTAGTGCCCGCATTCTAACTTTGTCGCCTCAGCAACTAATAACCAAAGATTATAAGTAGTTTAATAATTTTCCCCATTGCCCCCACATTGGCTAGACAAAGTCCTACCTCATTTCCTCTGGTCAGCTGTCCTACTCACCATGCAGGGAAAGAGTTCCATTCCTCACAGCCAGGAACTTGACTCCATATGGAAAAAAGGGAGTAGAGTGGGAACTCCCATACAGTGTGATCTCAGCTTGGCCTTGGAAGGGCTTGTCCTCAGATCCAATCCGGAGCTCTCCACCATCAGAAACAAGGATGGAGTGTGCCCTGAGCTCAATGGTTCCTTGATCCATGAAAATCAGCTTGCCTCCTAATGGCCACAAAAGAAGCTTGTCAGTCTTGTTGACAAGTCCAATGTTTGATGTAATCCTCTGTGTTTATATTCTCTTGTAGAAGCACAATTGAGTGGATCAACACCCAGACCCAGAAGCTCTGTATTACCAAACCAGTTTAAATATTCATTGCTCCTTTATTTATATTATTTTTAATAACAATAGCCTAAATGTCCAGCAATTTAGGACTGGTTAAATAAGTCATGAGAAAGTCATCATTTTTACCATTTAACAGCAGATAAAAGCAGCATATAAAAATTCAGCTAAAACCCTGCCAGGGTATCTCCATGGTTAGAGCATCAGCCCACATACCAAAGGGTCCTGGGTTCAATTCCTTGTCAAGGGCATGTGCCAGGGTTGTAGGCTCCAACCCTGGCCAGGTCAGGGCATGTGCAGGAGGCAACCAATCAATGTGAGAGATGCGTCTCTCTCATATTGATGTTTCTCTCTATCTATCTATCTATCTCCTCCTCTCTTCCCTTCCACTTGCTCTGAAAATCAATGGAAAAAAATATCCTCAGGTGAGGATTTTTTTTTAATATTTTATTGATTTTTCACAGAGAAGAAGGGAGAGGGAAAGAGAGCCAGAAACATCGATGAGAGAGATCGATCAGCTGCCTCTTGCACGCCCCCCACTGGGGATGTGCCCGCAACCAAGGTACATGCCCTTGACCGGAATCGAACCTGGGACCCTTCAGTCTGCAGGCCGACGCTCTATCCACTGAGCCAAACCGGTTCGGCATCTCAGGTGAGGATTTTTTTAAAAATCAGTTTAAAAAAAAACTGGGTAACAAGTGAACAGGAAATAGGAATAGAAGAAAATGTGTCAAAATTATAAGAACTGTGGTAAAAGGAAGTGTAATTAGGGCTACCATCATGACATGTGAAACATTTTAGCTGACCAACAACCACTGTACTTTTCATAATAGACTCTAATTTCCTGAAGGATTTGCTCTACTCTATGGAAAAGAGTTGAGTGGGACTGTCAGTCGTGGTGTCCTATCCTACTTAGCCTGAGTCATGTACCCAGACTTCAAAAGGAAATCTGGAGCAAAGGGAAGAGATGACTGGAAATGTTTAAACCTCAGAAATTCTAGTGGTGATACATAATGAGCCCAAAAAGAGTTCCTACTTCTGAACCCCCCATCTGCCAAGCCCCTCCAAAACTCCCTGAATGCTATTACTTCTACACCTGATTTTCCACACTTCCCATCAATTCTTTAAACTACCCAATACCTTCTCAATAAACTTCCTTGATCTATTTGTTTTTGTTCTTCTTAATTCTTTTCCACTTTCCTATGAGTTTGAATTTCCTATGAATTTTCTATGACTTTGTTTTATTTTTGTTTATTTTGCATTTTAGATTTTACATATAAGTGAAATCATACAATATTTATGCCTTTTAAAAAGATAGTTACAATCAAATAACCTTAACTGATACAGATACTGTTTTGCTCTAATATTGAAATTTTCTGTTAAATAGGAATGTTATCCTATATAATAAAAACCTAATATGCTAAGTGTCCGGTCATCAGTTGTCCGTTCAACCAATCAAAGCATAATATGCTAATGATATGCTAACCGATCACTATGATGTGCACTGACCACCAGGGGGAAGACACTCCAACTGGTAGATGAGCTTGCTGCAGGGGCCCGGCCGATCAGACTGCCCAAGATGGGCTGGACATGCCATGGAGCCCTCCTGCGGTACCTCCCCAGCTGGCCAACCTCCCAGGTCCCGCCCCAGCCCCAATTGTGCACATCCCTTCCCAGTCCTGATTGTGCACTAGTGGGGTCCCTCGGCCTGGCCTGTGCCCTCTTGCAATCCAGGACCCCTCAGGGGATATCGAAGAGCCAGTTTCAGCCTGATCCCACAGGCCAGGCCAAGGGACCCCCCACTGGTGCACGAATTCCATGCACCAGGCCACTTAAAACTAGTGGCCCAGTGCACGAAATTTGTGCATGGAGCGGGGGGTCCCTCAGCCCAGCCTACACCCTTTCCAATTGGGGACCCCTTGGGGGATGTCCGGCAGTTGGACATCCCTCTCGCAATCTGGGACCGCGGGCTCCTAACTGCTCACCTGTCTGCCTGCCTGATTGCCCCTAACCCCTCTGCCTGCCTGCCTGATCACCTCTAACTGCCTCTGCCTGATCACCCCTAAATGCCCTCTCCTGCCGGCCTGACCTCGCCCCCAACTGGCCTACCCTGCCAGCCTGGTTGCCCCCAACTGCCTTCCCCTGCTGGCCTGATCTCACCCCTAACAGCCCTCCCCTGCTGGCCTGATCTCTCCCCCAACTGCCCTCCCCTGCAGGCCTGGTTGCTCCCATCTGCCCTCCCCTGCTGGCCTGATCTCACCCCCAATGGCCCTCCCCTGCCATCCTGATCTTGCCCTCACTGCCCTCCCCTGCTGGCCTGGTTGCCCCCAATTGCCCTCCTCTGCTGGCCTGATCTCTCCCCCAGTGGCCCTGCCCTGCCGGCCTGATTTGCCCCTAACTGACCTCCCCTGCAGGCCTGATCTTGCCACCAAATGCCCTCCTCTGCTGGCCAATTTGGTTCTGATTGGTCTATTTCTATGCCAGTCAGTGTCAAAAGCTCTGCCTCCTAGGCAGCCATTGGCTCCTCACAGCACCCACATTTGGTTCTGATTGGTTGGCTCCTATGTCAATCAACGTCAAAAGCTCTGCCTCCTAGGCAGCCATTCACTCTTCATAGCACCCAGATTCTGTTCTGATTGGTCAGTTCCTATGCCATTCAGCGTCTCTGGGCCTATAAACGGGGCCTGATCAGAAAGGCATGGCTGATCGGCAGCCCCAGTAGAGGCCTGGAGAGAAATGGAGGCATGGCTGCTGGAGAGAAAGAGAGAGGCAGGTGCTGATCAAAAGCTGCCACAGAGGCAACAGATAAGCCCCTGCTTCTCTCTTAGGCTTTTCTCTGGCCCTGATTCGCAGCCTCCTCAGCAGTTAGCACTGGGTTCCTACAGGACTGACTTTCAGCTGGTCGAGCCTCAGTCATGACCTGTCATTACGACCCAGGGTTTTTATATATTAGGATCATTTGTATATCATGGGAATAAACACTTAGGATATTAAAACATACTTTCATTATTTTAATACTTTCCTTTAAGAGGATTTAAAATCTTTATATTTTAAGCAGAATTTTTTCAATAGTGTCAAAATAATTAATAATTAAACACTTTAACCTGAATGAGCTATTAAATCTATCTCCCACTTTGTAAGTGGTTTGCAAAAGTACTGCACTAGACTCTTCAATCCTCTAAGAAAGTGGTCAGGGTTGCGACTTTATATTGGGAACACCTGGGTCTTCTTTTCTGAACCCCTTAGTAACTTTCCATCTCACTCAGAATAAATCAAAGTCCTTACACTGGGCTACAAAAAGCCCCTTTTGATTTGCCACCCCATCTCTGATACCCCCGCATCATCATCTTTTAAAACTCACTTTGCGACTCATCTGTTGCAAACACACTGGCCTGCTTGTTGGTTCTCAAACAAGTCAGGCTTATGCATGTGTTCTTCCTGCACCTGGAATGTTCTTCTGCAGATACCCATGTGCCTCACTCCCCCTTGTCTCTATTCAAGGGTTAACTTCTCACTACGGCCTTCCTCTCCAGTCTATGTAAAATAGAATGCCCTTACCTCTGACTAAGGATTTGCATGGCAGGACTCCTCCATCATAAATAGTCAGGAAATCTGAACTAAACTTGATGAGCAAGTGGTAGAGGTAGGATATGGAATCGAGGTTCCTGTCCTGACTCCACTGTTGGCCTCTGAATGACCCTCACGGAGACCCATAAAATTGCTGGGCCTCGGAGTATTACTCAGTTCCCAAACCTGTCTTATTCAGGGCCTAAAAATGGTCCCTTCTCTCATTGGTGAAGTGGAGAGTAGGTGCATGCATTCACTCTAGCTCTGGGACATCTGACATCTACATCTGTAAGAATGCAGTCAGGTGTGTGTTGGACATTGATAGAAACACAGAACCCATATTTTTCTGACATCACCTCTGCTGTAGTGAACTTGGAATTTTGATCAAAAGAGATACTACATGCACAGGCAATGATTCAAATAAGACCACAGGAAAAACAAAGGAGCTAACATATATTAAGAACCTACCATGCGCCAAAATCTTTAGATACATTGTCTGAAATGACCTTCAGAATAAGACTATGAGGTCAATATCACCCTCCCTGTTTCACAGAACTGGGTGGGCTGCCAGAGAGACTGTAATTCCTCTTTCAGTCCAGAACTGGCCGAGGAAGCTTTAGCACCTGGGACCACCTGACAGAGACACTCATGTCCTATCTACTTCCGCAAACACTCCCAGGTAGCTCTTTTATTAATTAGGTTTGTTATCAGAGTTACACTTAAGGAAAAACATGTGTTAGCCTAAGTACATTTGCCTTTGGCTTGTTTATATATGATTTCTTTTCATTTTGTTAATGTAGATATACCTTGCCTCATTCCAAAAAGGATTTGAGACAGATTACAAGGATTAGTGGGTAAATATATAAACCTGGCCTTTATCCCTTGTACCATCAAGCAAAATATTAAACACACTGAAACAAATCGATAGTCGTTTTAAAATGTCACGGGAATTAAGAATGACATTAATGAAGGGAGAAAAGCTCAGCCCAAAGAAAATGAATGATTTGTGTTGGCAACAGTACGATAAACAGGACCAATTAATTAATGTTATTCTGTGCTACAAAGAATTCCCTCCTCACTTTATCAGTGACAAGTATAAAGAAATCGAGGTAAGTTCAGAAGAGATTTGATAAGGAATTCGGCTATTTTTTATTAAAATAATTGTAAGTGATAACCAAGGTGAAAGCTCCTTGGTGTGAAAGAATGTAAAGTTTAGTTTTAATCTAGCTTAAACACCAGGACCCCAGGTGTTTCATCGTCACACTTTCATTAGCTTAAAATAAATACACAGGGGATGGGAGGAGGGGGGCCTGCT